ATATATATATATATATATATCACTCATTTGATTACACCACCTTTCCCAGTTTGACCCTGAAGAAGAAAGGTCCATCTTTCGAAAGCACTTGGGTTATAGGGTTTTTATTCATTTCTATCAAGACTTCTTGAACCTACGTTGGTTTCTAACATCATGAATGGCAATTATTAATAATTTGTTCACAGCTAATTTACAGGTACTTAATCTTTTAATTAGATTTTGTTATGTTTTCTGCAAATGACATGTAGATTGGTAATTCTAAACTTTTTATGGCATGGAACTCTTTATATTAATCTCATGGAATCCTTTGGATTACCAAGTGTCCATATATATTGATGTGAGCTATATGATGTGAACTGTAGAAAACATTAGACCATGCTTTCATTAATATATATATTACCATATTAATATTCATTGTTTATAGACACATAAACTTTTTTTTTACCCTGTAGGACTGCAGGCAGTCATTCAATGGAGGAAGTTTCTATGATCATGAGGGACAACCATACTGTGAAACTCACTATCATGCAAAACGAGGCTCGCTCTGTGCTGGTTGCCACAAGCCCATTTCTGGCCGTTGTATCACAGCCATGTTCAGAAAGTTCCACCCAGAGCACTTTGTATGCTCATTCTGTCTTAAGCAGCTGAATAAGGGAACCTTTAAGGAACAGAATGATAAGCCCTACTGTCATGCTTGTTTTGAAAAACTTTTTGGTTAAACCTGAGATTGGAAATGATGAAGTTTGTTTTGTGAAAGTTGTACAACTTTTTTTTTTTATTGTGAATCTCATCAACTGAAATTTTAGTTTTATTATTTTGAGTGGCCTAGTACAGCTTGGATAATTTGAGAAGTTTTGGGTTCAGTCATTGTTCTTAAGTATTAGCATGTACTTGTTAGGCTTTGAAATTTTGTTGTTTGCTGTAGTATATATTATGGAAAAAAACAGAGATAACTTACATTGGGGCAGCTGGTTTCCATAATGCACTTATATAGGTACTATGTTGCTAGGAATATTCAAAAGCTATGACACCTCAGTTTTGTAATATAAATTTTAACAGTTTTTAATCTTAGAGTTTTATATCTCATTTTTACAATAATCAGTTAGGCAGGAACATCTACATATTGGTTGAAGCTATTTAAGTATTAAATGATTGTTTTGGATTTGCATGTTAAATATATAAATCAATGTATTTGTCACGTGAACAATCATAGTTTTTAGCTATTTGAATGAATGAAACATAGCGATATGCCCAACAACTATATACTTTTGTGCAAATGTAAGCTAAGTTTTTCCTATCAATTCCATTAGATAGAACAGTTCAACTGTTTGAAGTACATTTTACAAATTATTGGATGTGTATTCTTAGCTGGCTGAATGAATGTACATTGACCAGGTGGTTGAAAGGATGTGTTTTAGCTAACTGAATGGTTTTACTTTGTTTTCATTTTATCAAAAGACTTGCTCATTTTTTAGTTAGTCAAATGAACATGCATTGCTCAGATGATTGTTTGATGTGCATAGTTTAGCTAGAAAATTTAAGGTACAAGGTTAAAATGAATGTAAGTCATGGATAATTACCTCTTAAAAATGTCAATACTAGAAATTCTGGTAAACACCTGTTTTTAAGTCATGGTCCTTGAAAAGTTCTAAAATTTCAGTTTCAGTAAAAATCTCTCATGAAATAATCGATGTCTTTGAAAAAAAGGTTAAACAAACAAAAAGTTTGGTTATTGAAATTGGGTTTCTTTATATTTTGTGTCAGTCATTGTTAATCTTGTGCCTCACAAAACTCAAAACTGTTGCAATCTCTGCTGGCAGACAAATTTTGTAAATTAAAGTAATGCAAAATGGAAGTTTAATTCTGCATGACAGGATTTGAGAGTCCTGGAATTTTCCTTTGTAAAATCTGTATGAACTCTAATTTTTCAGTGCATTGAAAGAATGTGCAGTGTTTAGCTAGAGGAATGAAGGCTCATTGTTTTGTTGATTGTTTTTTTTTCTATTGTCAACTTATTACACTGATGACTTAAGTTGTTGGTGAAAAGATTTTCTGGTTTGCTTATACTTCAGAAGAGTGTAACCTCATAAGAACTGATAATCATGATTTACTTGTAAAGAAAATTAAACCAATAGCTATTTTATTAATTTGTACGAAGTTACAGTTGACATTAATGCATATGCACTTGACCTCTGTATCTCTGACTTGCATGATTTTAATGTAATTTGAAAATGATTTTAGATAAGTAATTTCATTATTCACTTCCTGATTCTTCCAGAACGTTCAGAAAAACCCTTGTTAAAGTTTACAAAGATATATATGTATCTGTTGTCATGTTTCTTACTACTTTCAATGATACCTCAAAAAGCTATCCAGTGCATATTTTAATGCTGGTGATTATTTTTCACATATTTGGACAAAAGTATGCATGGTTCATAAGTCATGAGAAGCTTACTTTGAAATGATGATATTTGGAGATGTTTTCAAAACCTTAACTAAAGCCTATTAAAAAGTAACAAATGACAACACATTCATTAAAACCTCTTTATAACCAGGTTTTCATGACGAAGTTTATCATAAGTTCAATAATCATATTTGCATTTTGAAGGAAATAATGTACATTAAAAGGTGGAATTGTTTTGTATAAATGTGTTAAATGATATCACAACTTGGGAAGATTCCATGTTATTTGAATCTCTTTTCAGTTACTATTTTTTTAGTTATATTTGTGTATTGTTGGTTCAGTGACTGCTCATGCACTTTTTGGAAATGTGAAAGATTAAAGAAGGATTTTGTATGGTAGACAACTGTAAAAAAACAGTATTTTGCCAACAGTTGAGGTCCATTTATTCTAAAATAACACAAAGCCATAGTTGTGTGTATATTGCAACTTTGCCTTTTTATTAGGTGTTTTCTTAAATGCAAAAACTGTTAAACAGTTTCTGTTGCCATATGTTTTAAATCCTTAACCATTAGATTTTGTACATGATGCAATCTTGGCATAATGTTTGCATGATTAGCAGTTTGAACACGTACTTGATGTTTACATTTTGTAAAGAAATATTTCAAACGTTTTTTTTCTTCTTTCTGTAATGTATATCACAGTCCAATTATCTTGGATAACTATGTATGTGACCTGGAACATGTGTTGTGCTATTCGTAGGGGGTCTAAATTGTGTAACAATTTGACACAAAGTAGCTTAGGAACCATACATGTTTTTCAATTTATATGTTATACATTTCATACTTTTTAAATATATTCATTGTTCACTGGTTACAGCTAGCACGTGTAAATGTGGGTCAAGTGAGTTACATGGGGAAGCAATCTCAAAGTCTTGTTCCATACAGCTTTGAAATAAATAACTTTTTATTATGACTGGATTTGAGTACTGATTTACACCTTAAAAATATGAACTCAACTTTATATTTTACCTTGATATTTTTCCCATTTATTACAATGTGTTTTGATTGAATGAAATTCCACTAGAGGTTAATTAATTAATTTCATAATTATAGTAATTTGTGTCTTATTGTCAGTCATTATCAAAAGATGTTAAAATATTTTTATATAGTTCCACTGACTGTAATTTTTTTTTTTATAACATATAAAGAGTAAACATACATTTAGTATTTTAAACTTCATTTGTGAAGGAAAGTATTTCTTTGAGAAAAAATTACATTAAATTGAAAATTAGGTGATAGGAATTAACTAAG